TTACGTTTTTTTATTCTTGCCTTTTTTTTTTTTTTTTTTTTTTTTAATTAGAGAGCGCTAGAACAGTGAGCAGCTATTGTGGCACAGCCTGTCAGCTGCAGTGCTGGCAGGTGGGTATCTGCAGGTTGTGTCTTGGGCTTGCTGACAGGGACCTTACACAAATAATATCTCCTGCCTTCATCAGTCCCTCTGAACCAGCCTGTCAGCTCAGGAGATGGGGAACAAGGCTCAGGCTTGATTGCAAGCCTCCAGCTCCCTGCTGGGGAGCTGAGAGGACAGGAATCAAACCCTGGGGCTGATTTCTAATTGGTAAAATAAGGAGACGTTTTAAACGAGATAGCTGCAATTAGGATGAGAGGCACTACAGAGATCAAGAGAAATGCTTCTTCATAAGAACAAGCTGTTGCTTCTCTCAAGGGGAGCAAGCAGGGGAAAGGTAGCCTGCCTGAAATGAGTTAGCTGCAGCAATTACGGAGGACACTCATAGACAGAAAGAAATCTCTTCCTTCAAGCTTGTGACTGATTTCAAAGGAACCAGGGCTCATTTTAAAATAAATGAATGCTATTAATCTGACAGCTTCCTTAGCTTGGTTATTTTGCTCTTACCTTCATGTTGGGAACATTATTTTTAATTATTTCTATAATTTTCAAGCATGCAAGGAGGAGCATGGGGCTACTGCAATGTTTGGGAAGAATGAGATAATATTGATAAATCCAGCAGGGAAAGCTAATGGTCTGCCAGGCCAGTGATGCTCATGGGGCAGTGGAGGTGTTGGCAGTGACTCCATTTACTATGGATAGTGACCAGCACTGCCTATTCCTTCATCCACACCTTTCCTTTCAAAAAGCCCTCAATCAGCTCTGGAACCAGAAGGGCTTAGAAGTTCTGTTTATCCCTAGAAACAGGGCTAGGAAGACAACTGCAAACTGTTTAGCAGTGGCAGATGGCAACTGAGATCAGAGCTAACACCAAAATTCCTGGTAAACACATCTCCCAAAAGTAGTGACAGAAAGTATCCTCTACTACCACGATGCTCTTACCACAAATCTCACTTCACCTTCTCTATTTTCTTCAGTGCTCATTTTAGTCTTCCATATTTAACACAGTCTTCAGGTTTCTGATATCTATAATTTTCTGGTGCCACTTCAGTTATGACACAGTTTAGATGTGACCTGTTCATCCACAGGAAGCTGGAGATAAAATTTCAAGCATTTGAAGAACACTTTTTGAGCATATGCTGAATGCAGAGCAGCTGACTTTTCCCTAAAAGTTACTTACAAGCAGCACTAATTATCTTATTTTTCTGAAATTTTACCAGTGGCGTCAGTGCTTAAAAAAACCATCAAGACAGTCTGGAGAATAAGGTTTTTCTGGAAATGTTGAGCAGGGCTCAGAGCTGTAGATGATAAGCAAAAGGGAGCACAGAAACTGAATTTCTTCTGACAGCCTTCCCGGTGCAGCAATGCTGAGTATCAGAGAGAAGCAGAGGTTTCCATATCTAAAAATAAATTGAAACAAGAGCATCTTGTGGCCTGCTCAGTGGCATAGAGCAGCAGCAGCAGCTGCAGCACTTCCCTTGGTCTCCCCAATGCTTCAGCTGGGAGGATTTGGGCCACTGCCTTTCCTACATTGTTTAAATTGAAGCACTCCAAACAAACAGCCAACAAGTGTTTTGACATTAAAAACTTGCCTTTAGGGCTTTTGCTTTTTCTCATGCAATTTTTTTCTTTTTTTTTTTTTTTTTTTTAATCCTTCCTGCTTGTGCCTTGTGCTCCAGCTGCCTCATTAGCACAGAAGAAAAGGAGCCAGAGATAGTCCTGATTCTCATCTATTTCAGATCAAAGGAAAGAGAAAAACAGGGCAGAACCAGCATTTCCCAGGCAGAGCACGAGGAATCCTTAAAAATAAAAAAGCAAAGGCCAGGATCAAGCACTTCTTTTATGTCACAGGAGTGTGGCAGATAAAATTAGGTTCACAATGACCCAAATGCCTTGAGCAGAGATGTCTGTCCCAGTGCTGCCCTGGCCCTTTGCTGCATCCAGGGTGGCTACCTGGGGTTACCAGTGGCAGGTGAGGAGCCACACATTCCCAAAAACCTGCTGGCTCCCTTGCTGCTGCATTCCAAGGGTCTCTGTGCTCTTCTCAGGGCATGAAACCACACACGTGGGCAGCCCCTGGAGACACCCAAGGAAAAACCAGGCAAGGTTGCTGTCAAAGCAACACAGCAATTGATTTTCTTGGTTTTAGATAAAAAACTTGGTTTAAGAGAAATACACATTTGAAGAAATTCTTCACTGTGATGGTGGTGAGGCATTGCCACAGGTTTCCAGAGAAGCTGTGAATAACCATCTCTGGAAATGCTGCAGGCCAGGTTGGACAGGGCTTTGACCAACCTGGTCCAGGGGAAGATGTCCCTGCCAGTGGCAGGCAGAGTGCAGCTGGATGCTCTTTAAATGATTTTATGATTTTGGAGGAGGAGTTCAAATCTAAGGTCACATTTTAACCTAAATTATACCAACACAATCAGATATTGATCTGAGTCTTGACATATCTACATTATTTTATCTCTGCCCTCAGTATAGTTTGAAGAGGATTTTGAAGGAAACCCTAGAAATTAGGTTTCAGTAGATATAAATGTTTGGGGTTTTTTTTGTTTGGTTGGTTTTTTGTTG